CACTTGTACTCCTGTGTGGAGAGAGGCAGCCATAGGTAAAGTGCCTTTGCCAAAGGACACAACTGAAATATCAACCACTGTCATATAAAAATTTAAAAAAAATGTCTCGTCATTACACTTAACAAAGTTCTTCAAGTGACAGAATTGATTTTCACGCTATTTTTATAATTTTCACTTTTAATGGTCCTTACCTAAAATAAGCTTTTGTACTTGAGTACAATGATAAGTAAATAAATAATAAATCAATTAGGATTTCTGCTTTTTGGGTTACTGGTATTGTTGATATTTAAGTTGTTATACAAGGAGGTCACAAATGAGTGAATCCATTCCAAACAGATCAGCATTCATAATCAATGAATTGTGTTCAACTTAGGAAGTGGCCTGTAAACAGAGTATTGTATTTTTGTTTCCTTTGATAGAAATGCGATAGCTGCGCTGCAGATTTTCAAGGTTAAAAGAAAGTTAAAAAGATAAGCTTTTTAATAGATCTCTTGCATTCCAGCACAGGTTTCTAGGTTTGAATTTATTTAAAATGCTCTAGACACAAACTTTTAGACTTAAAAGCAAGTTACAAAATTCGTGACCTACTGGTTCCATACCCCACACATCCCTAATTGCCGAAAGCTAGTGCACTGGTTCGAGACTGAGATTGTAAATTTAGATAATAATAATAAATAATAGATGGATTTATGTAGCGTAGATAAACAAGACAGGACTAGGTAACATGAAAACAGGGCACAAAAAAAAATATTGCAAAAAAAATTTTAATGAAAAATGATAATGGTTAGCACCATATTCTCTGTTGTATCATGGCAAATTAACAACAAAATATGTAGGTTGATGGCTTCATTGGTAATACAGTATAGCATGTTTCAAGTTATCACACCGTATATTCCGGTGTATAAGCTGCACCTGTTATTCCGGTGTATAAGCTACACCTGTGTATAAGCCCCCCCCCCCCCCCCAAATTAGGACGCGAATATCACCTGTGTATAAGCCGCACCTATTTTTAAGCTCCAAACCGTTCCCATAATGTTAAGAAATTAATTTATTTGAAACATTGACATTATTTATAAATGTTCACATAAAGAAAAAAAATCTTTTTCGGCCGATTATTAAACAACAAACACCTGGAAATGCGTGTAAACTGCTGGCTACCGCCATGTTAACAACGTATTCTTGCTCTAGGCAGCCCTAGGGAAATCCCCATTTTTTGCTAGACGGTCGTGCTACGTTAAATTTTCAACATCAGTTTAGTTTAGGTTTACTTATTGAGTATATTTATCTATTTTAAACAGTCATTCTATTATTATGTTGACTAATAACAGTTAGTATTAGGCTAAAAATATTGGTAATTCTAGACCTAAGTCATTACTACTCACCGCCCACTGTGCGAAGCATGCACCATCACGCACCACGTTTTATAAACAAAACTCAGAACTGGAGAAATATCGTGGATATGCCCATGACGTATGCCTTTCTACAGTTAAATTCCAGTAAAATAATTAAAATTTTACAACTTCAAGAAAACTCGTGTTTTTATAGCATAAATTAATTTCACAAGTTTTTATTCTAAAATTATAGCGGTATCAATATCCTCTCTATATAACGGTACAAGCAACTGGGAACCAGACGTCGAACAGCAAGTTTTACCAGCCCACGTGTGTTTTGTTGCGACATCGAAAATGAAGCTGCTCGCGTGACCTCGAGGACCCAATTAGCTCCCAAAAAGTAGTTTGATAATCTTTTGAGCGAAGCGGTTTCGAACAGAAACAGCGTGTTTCAAAATTGTTTGTGAGTGAACGTAATTATGAAAGTAATTATTTAGACAACCCAAACCATTGCTAATGTCGTAGAAAATGTAGTAGGAATCCTAGCACAGCACTGTAGTGAGTATAATTACAAATACTAGGCCAAAAAACTGGTCCTACCCTAGGCTAATTAATTGGGCTAGCGTGGGTCTAACCTAGACAGACGGCGCCAGATTTTCGCCGTGGCTCGCGATCTGAACTTTTGGGAGTAGGTTAATGACTGGTGTATAGGCCGCACCCCAAACTTCGGGGTGGGGGGGGGGAATCGCGTATAAAATTTGCGGCTTATACACTGGAATATACGGTAAATGGCAATATTAAGCAACAGACTAGAGCTACTGTAGTTGCAACCAACCACAATATTTTGGTGACCCACAGGGTTTGCGTAGCATTTTAAAAATCCTGTACAACTATTCTTTTGGTCACTTAGTCAAAACCCACAGTTGAGACAGTTCCTACCACATCCTCATTCTCTGACATTCTGTATCATGTTTTTTGTTTTTTTGTTTTTTTTAGTGCGTGTTATACCTTTGGGCGCTGAAGATTCTTAACCCTACAACGTTGTTCATGCTTCGAGGAAACCATGAGTGTCGGCATCTCACAGAATATTTCACCTTCAAACAAGAATGTAAGTACCATCCCATAGTAACAATCTTTCGATTTGTGCGACAAAGCGATGCTAGAACGGGATCACTTATGCGTGACCATCCAACCTTTCGTCCTGCGTTCTCTGCATATGTTGATTTGGCCAAATTGCGTTCTAGAATCTACTCGACGAAATGACCTTAACGTTCTCGCATGCGCAGATGACTTTTAGTGACATCATTACGTTCTACGTCCTACCGTCGTCGTGCAATCGAAAGGGCCCTAATAGTATTTTAATTGTTTACTTGTTTATTATTAATTAATTAATTAGTACTAACGTAAATTTACTAGATGTATTTTTTGTAACTCTTTTAATACTGCTGATTAAATTTTTCTCATGAATAATTTAATAATCCAGTATTAATTATTTACTTGTTATATTAATTTATACTAACATATGGTAACTAAAGGATTTTTTTTAAATAGTTTAAACTGTTGTGTAACTCTTTTAATACTACTGATTAAACATGTATTTCTCTCATCAATAATTTAATAAGCCAACAACCATTAATTAATAATATCATTTAAAAACAATATAGGACAATTGAATATTTTTCATGTGAATTTTGAAAGATAAAATGTTATATTAAGGAACATTCTGTAACATTGATGATAATGCTGGTAAGTACAAGTTAAAAGAGTTTCATTCCGTCTGTCTATATATGTAGGCAGAACCACATTTTCAAATGAGCTATACGAATGAGGCATGTTGTGGCGAAATGGTCAAGTTGTCGCACAAGCCAGTATTGAGTAAATGAGCTATAAAAATCAGGAGCTCAAGCCATTTTGTTATAACATGCCTCAAATGCTGACCTGCTATGTTTATACACACATCCTCTGTTTTATAGAGTATCAACTAAATTAATTAAATCAATTCAATGTAGACATTTACGATAAAATAATAGTATAGTAAATGATGATTCATATTGCTTGATCTGTCTTAAAAAATACTGAATGAAAGTGCTTTCCACAAAGCAGTGGATAAATGGATGGATGGATTTATTTGGTGTAAACACCAAGGATAACCCATGAAAGTCTGAAGAAGAACCCGGTCTGTAAATTTCATATTTTGTGCTAATGTGGCAGTATTAAGCAGATGTGTTTTTTTTATATGATCTTGTTTGTTTACAGGCTGTCATGTGACATAGATTGGGTATACATGAAAACATTGCAGTGTGAAAGCATAGGAAAAGATAATGTTATGTTTTACGAAAATAATTACCCACTGTTAACGTGAGAAATAATTGGCTAGGAAAGGCAATACGATTTTCAAAATAGTGTTTATTTTTTTAACCTAGCATTCTCCTAGGATTGTATGCTTTGAAATTAAGGTGATCGTTCATAAACCTTAGCTAGCCCTACATTACAGCGTAGTTCGCGGGTCGAAAACCATCATGCATACCTGACCATGCCTACACTAGGTCTAAAATTTGTCGAAAAATCTCAATGTTTCTAGCCAGTATTCTTTACAGCATTAGCAAACCATTTAAAAGCAAAATTCTCAAGTTTAATTTCCAATCAATTTGGTATATTTTTACAGCAATAACAAGGGATGGCTGCAATAGCAAACTCCATGTAAAACACCACTGTGCCAATCAGTTGTTTATATCCATCACCCAAGTTAGGTCATGTGATGCCCATCGCCAAATCCCTCTATTAATAAATGAAGCAGATGCCTTGGTTTCAATGAAGATAAGCTCGGCCCCACCCTCTTAAATTTTCTGTGACAAAAAACTGTTGTAAGCTCAAGTCAAGATATGATGACATGACCATATTTATGCATATCTCTTGTTTTTGTTTTTTTATAGCCTGAACTGGGCTTTAAATCTAAATTAGATATTGAATATTATGCAAATACAGTATCGCATTTCACAATGCAAATTGGTTTAACATAGGCAAGGCTATTGTTTCTATTATGATAAAGTTATTTCTTATTATAAAACGTGTGCTGGACAACTCTTGACATTTAAGATAACAGAGTAATCTTATATGACAATCCAAATATTTGTTTGAGATAAATTATCAGAATATCAACATTGACATGTATACTTGATTCTTCCTAATATAGAACAGGTAGAATATAACACTAACAATATATTAAATCATTGCAGGGCTGTAGCTATTATTGTATAGACTAGAAATTGCAAATTGCAAGTGAAGTGCTGCGAAGTGCAACTGCATCTAAATCTTCTTCGAACAAAATTATTTATGCGAGTCAAGTGAAAATAAGGATAATAAAAATATAAAAAATAATATGAGACACGACCCATTGTCTATATTAGAACACTTCTCATTGGGTAACAAAGTCGTAATTTTTCATTTTTGTCAAAAAGTGTCTATAGTGGTGAATTATGGTTTAGGTTTTTTTAAATAATGTTTCAAAAATTTCTATGTATGTAGAAAATGTAGTTGATTACCAAAGGTTACAATTTTTATTTTGAAGACTGCATAGTCTAGGAAGTGTACACTTTTTTTATGGGGCAAGTTTCCAAGAGTGGGTTTTTAAGGGGCGAGTTGACTGCCAAAGAGTGTTGCCAAAGTGTGAGCCAGCGTGTTATTTGATCACAAGTGCGAGACATCGCAAGTGTGTGAGCCAGCGAGCCATGACGTCACAACAATAGATACAAGACGTTACTCGAGTTGTGCAAGGTATCGGGTGAGATTTGTGGAGTACAATTCAAAAAACAACTATAGGTCTAATAATGGATTATTGTGATGTTAAATAGACAATGTTAGCTATCAAGGAGCGACGTTGTCTTTCATTGGGACCTTCGTCCCTCAAGGCTAGGCCTATACCATCTTAGCTGGTCTAGGCCTAGAGTAGGATAAGGCTAGCGCGATATGTGGACGTTGGTATGTGTTGGTTAGTCTACAAACGTCGCCTAAAGTAATTGATTTTACCCGGCAGAACGAAAGAAGGAAACTCCACTTTTCAGTCGTCTTAGGCCCTTGTTTTTTGACAAACAATGACCTTTCAGAGGTCAAATTGCTGTCAAGAATATGAATTGGCTGCTTCGCAGCAAAAACTATATGGTGGGTAGTAGACATTTTAAAGGTGGGTGATAATATTTGGTAACCTTTAAAAAATAAGAGTGGATTTTAAGAATGGACAAGAGATTAATAAAGGTGGGTGGAAGGCTGTGAAATTAGCTTTAGAGACTGGTTGGAAACACTCAAAACCGAGTGTCCCCGCCCACCATAACTACATCCCTGTCAATGGTACAAATATCTTTACATTTGAAGTTGGTTTCTATGTACTGTAGTTAACATTTTAAAAAAAAGACTATTATTAGAACTGAAGATTACATTATTTTCATTTAACTTGCAAATTTTTCTTCTTCTTTCAAATTGCAACCTTTGAAGCAGTCATTAATGCACTGTCTGTAGATAACGTACCAATTGATAAGCCTTGTATAGACAGTGTATTGATTTCACGTCTATTCTAGCCTTGTAATCTATACAAAAGATTACATACTGTACAATATTCATATTTTCGCAATTTTCTGCTGAACGATATAAATTTAGTGGAATTGACACCAAAGTGCATAATTGCAATATAAACATGTAAAAAATAATGCTTATTTTACTTTAGATAACAAAATAGATAAAAAGGCTGTATGCAAAGGAGTGTAGGAAGAAAATCCATTAGAGGTACATCCATTTTATTCTGGGATATCATGAATATGCATTTACCATACAAATAAATAAAATATTCTGCAGTATTTTTAAATTATAATTTTTTTAGGCGCCAATGTTGTGGTTATTCCAGAGTGAGTCTTAATGTTACTGTTCTTTTTATAATCTGACTTGTTTTCTTTGCTAGTATTATTTATTGTTGGTAAATTTATTAGGCCCAATAAAAAAAATTATTAGTTTATCACCCTCGCGCGCATGCCTTTTATGGTACTGAAAAAAAAAAAAAATTCTGAAATTTATTTTTTTATTTATTTATTTTTTTCATTTATTTTATTAAATAGTTAGTAGATATTGTTTCCATTATCTAAATAAAATAAATATCAATGCACCAGCAAACAAACCAAGGGTTTATATTTGGCTTTAGCAAAATAAAAAATTTAAAAAAAAAAGCTTCCCTCCCTCATCACTTTTCCTGCCCAGATAGGGTGATAAACTAATAATATTTTTTATAGGGCCTTAGTATTCTTTATGCAAAATATAAAGCAAGTTGGGTATATACTTAGTGATTAAATGCTGCAAAGTTATATATTTCAAATAAAATGGTACATACTAGTGCTATTCGAATGTGGCACTTTAAGGCAAAAAAAAATTGTCTAGTGTGGCATTTATTTGAAAGCTGCACTTAAATGGAACATTATGATAGCTGCAGAAGATTATAATTGCTTAAAATTTTACTAAATTTATTACTTGGCAAATATAGTAAACAAAATTTACTAAGTTTCATAAGTATTTAAAAAGAAAAATCATAAAAATACAGATGGTTATATTAAGTGGTCAGGGAAATGATAGACTTCAAGTCTATTAAATCAATATTCAACCAAACAGATCTAATCCGAAGTCAAGATTAAAGGATTTGATAGCATTGCATTCCCAGCCCTTTACTAATACCCACTCTCTACCTCTGAACCGAGTTAGAAGAGTTCTCAGCGAAGTGAATTTATAGGCAAAGTTTACAGGTGTGTTGATGGTGTTGTGATGCGTATTAAAAGGCTGTCATCCGCGCTTCATGTTAATTACCAATGGGACTGAATAGAGTGCGGATTGCATGCTTTATTCACTATAAACAAATTACCTCCACAGATCTAAAGATGCCAACCACTGCACAGTGTTCATTCTGCTGTGAATTGTATGTTCATTTTTAATTAGGTCTTGTTAGAATACAGCCTGTGGGTTTTTGGTTATGGTACCTAACTTTCAATCCCAAAGCTCCTTGGTTCGAATCCTGTAACACCAGTATTTTTTCTTATGAGTAAAAATCTTATTGCCTAAAAGTAATTGCCATTTGGTGTAAAAGAAATATGTTAGGAAATATTTTAGGTAGTCAAATTATTTATTCGTTCACATGAAACAATCCTAAATGTTAATAGGCACTAAAAACTGAAAAAGCAGGTCTTGTAGTTGCTGTATGTTAATTTTTATTATTAGGCCTATTCTACAGTAGTTTGGTGTATCTACAAAACTAATGGCAATATACAAATGATGAAATATTGATGACAATACTTTAATTGCAGATAATATTGGTAAATTTTTCTGAACCAGAGTTTTAAAAAAATTATAAAAATTATTGTGGAAAATTACTGTATTTTGATATTCTGTGATTGCACTTTTTTTTTTGTATAATGATTTTGATTTATTAAATTATCATTTTAAAATTTTTTTTGTTAACTTCATCATCATTCGTTGCTGAAAATGTTAACAATTTTAGGTTAAAATATTGTCTCCAAGTTTGAAAATGTCTAAGCCAGTTTGACATTTTTAGTTTATTTAAACTTTATTCAAATATTATAAGAAAGAGTATTAAATGTCTGTTCTGTATTTGTTTAAACTCAACTTTAAAATAAATGAAACAATTTGTTTCTGTCCCTGGCATCTTCTCATAATTCTACCAATTCATCATAGCTTTCAAATTTGAGTCTTTTTTAAATCGGTTTCAACTTTTGAATGGTTTTAAATTATTATCATTGCAGGTAGAATAAAGTATACAGAGAAGGTGTATGATGCGTGCATGGATGCGTTTGACTGCCTGCCGCTCGCTGGTCTGATGAACCAACAATTTCTTTGTGTTCACGGTGGCTTGTCACCAGAAATTCATACACTCGACGATATTAAGAAGGTACTATATGCCCAGTATTACTGTACTTCCATAAACCAATCCCAAACCAAAATGCATTATTTCCTATGTAGTTGGTTCTCCAATTTTATCCAAATATAGCCAATTCACACTTAAGTAGGTACTATGCCCTGTATTACTTCCCTAAACCTATCTTAAAATGCATTATCTCCAATGTATTTGATTCTCCAATTTTACCAAAATATAACCAATTCACACTTTGCACAATGGCTGCTACAGTGTGTAATAAGCTCATATATGTTTTTTTCTCTTCTCTGCCTAGGAAAAATATTTATTTTATAAAGAACAGTAAAATGTATTTTAAGCTCAGTTAAAAAAGTAGACTTTGCCTAATTCATAAGTCGATCTTATTTTACATGGCGAATGGTTGTTTTCCATTAATTAATGACCTGTAAGTCAAATTTTATATTATAAAGTCAAACGATTTTTCAATTTAATTTTGGATTCAACTTAGGCAAGTTCAAAATATTAAACTACACTATTGCTGGTCAAGCTCTAACTTAAAAACTTGCACCTTATTTTATAATTTACACACAAATTCTGGCAAACAGCTACTTTCATATTTAAAGGCATTGGTTCACTAGCTCAGAATTTTTGGTTACAACATTTTTAATTTTTTTTTAATTAAATGTTGCTGTGTGTAGTAAGCCTACTCACCATTATTGATTATGTAGACAATTGGTAATATATTTGCGTATATATTAACAGTTACAGCATTTTTTTCATTTGCATATTACAGGTGGACCGATTCAAAGAGCCACCTGCCTTTGGTCCTATGTGCGATTTGCTGTGGTCAGATCCTTTAGAAGACTTTGGTAGTGAGAAGAGTGCAGAACATTTTAGTCATAATACAGTGCGAGGCTGCTCATACTTCTATAGGTAAGACTAGTTTTTTTTTTTTTTTTTATGGTTTTGTCCACATTATCAACAGTGGGGTGGACAATGTTGGGTGGGCTTGTTTTTTTTCTTGCTCTGCCATAGAATCAGAATTGTGTTTTGGATTAGAATACATAGTACTATGCGACTTTAATTCACAATGTAACCAATCCGATTGTAAAGCTATATAAAATCAGTCACACCCAACATAACATTGTCCACTCCCCTGCCCATCCCACCTAATCAGTAGTATAGTCCATGTGACAGTTTTTGCTTTTTGTTATGGTTATTATCTTTTCATCAAGAGTTACTGTGTCTCGGAATAGCTAATAGATAGATAGCGCATTATATGCTGTTTTATTATTATTTTATTATTATCATAATAATGAATTTAATTATTAAACTTGCTTGAATTACTTTCAACTGTGCTGTATTTGATTATACTCATTTTTGTGGCATATTGTCTCGAATTCTATGGTATCTTCGTAAAAGTTGTTTGTTGCGTTCTTAATTACAAAATGTCATCTTATTTACTCTCACTAGAATACATAGAATACATAGTATTATACAAAATGTCATCTTATTTACTCTCACTGGCAGAGGATACAATAGACAGACAAGTGAGGTTTCCATAGGCAGATACGAAATGGCTGTCTGTGGGATTAATACATTGCATTAAAATGGCAATAATATTTATAGTTTATAACAGTAAATGTTAAATACTGTATGTACTGTAGTTAGTATTAATAATATAAGTTTTTTCAAATGCTTTTTGTTTCTTGGTTAAAATCATTTTCTTCACATTTCTTAACTCAATTTTGTGATCCACATGATGTAATTTTTGATTTAGTTTCTTTATTTGGCATCGAAAATCGTGTACAGTGTTTTAAAAAATTTGACAGAGTATAAATGTGGGATCATAGCGTGAGTATTCAGACTCTAATGGAATCATTAACTACATTTTAACATTTTCGGGAGGCACATAGCAAATCTGAAACATTAAGGAAAATTTATAATGTGTGTATAACAATTATAAGATTCTGAAGTCAATCTAAGTATCATCATATATTTGTAGTTTATAATGATAGTTTATTATCAACCTGTTTTTGGCGGTTTTCACTGCTTACTTTGTGAAGGACTACCTATGTTGGCTTGTTTAACACTTGATTTATCATGATAAAGTTAAACTTCTGGACCATTGGAGTTCAATTTGCTTTTATTGTTTATTGGTGCATGTTTTATGACTGTACTTTGGCTATTATGAAAGTAAACCTAAGAAGTGGTGCTATTATTCGTGGGATATTAATATTGTCCAGTCTTTATTATAACAGAGCATTGACAAAGAAGAGAGCACTCAAGGATACTAATACCATGCATATTTGCTAGCAGTAATACTCTTAGGCCCAAACAAAAATATGAACTTGTCACTCTACACTAACCCCACACGAAAAAAGTGACTTTTACTTGAGCCATTTAAGAATAATTGCAGCTGATGAAATTAGAGCAAATTCTATTTTATTCATACCTTTTGCATTTTTTTCCCCCAAACATTTAAAATTATTTCCAAGTAACCAGTATTTTCTCCCATCAACTGACAAGATAGGCAATAAAAGGAATAATAAATTATTTCAGGTGAATTTATAAATAAAATTAAAATTATGAGATTCCGACAGAACAGATGCGGGTGGATAATATGGTAATCAAGTTTTGTAGGAGATCTTACTGTAGATTGGCAAAGTAGTTATTTTTTATTTATGTATATTTTGTTATTACTGTCTCCATGTTATTATAAAGTCCATTATCTTCATAACATATGGCATCCTGATTATAGCATTATCATAAATGCCTGTACTTGGAAAATATGGTTTTGTCATCAACTCTGTGTACAGTTCAAAACCTATTCTATTCCAATTTTTTTTTTATTCCATTGTCAATTTTTTCGCGGCTTAAATTCATATACAACATGTATGTCTTATTTTAAAAGTTAATAGAATGATCTAGTAAAAATAAAATGAAATTCAAAATAGATAAATTAATTAAAAGGTTGTTTTTAAGAAAGCGTTAATGATGACAGGTCTGATGTAAAAATGTTTTTATGGCCAAACCATTGGTAAGCATTTAAGAAAATGCTTATTACAAAGAACTAGTAAAACCAGAGAGAATATAATAAACAGAAATGAAACTTGTTGCATAACGTAAACATGATATAGGACTACCTTTTCTCGACTTCTGCGTTACAGTGCTTACAGGTTCGGTGGTGGATGTAGGAATTTAAACTAGACGGGGGGCCCCCCAGGGAGGGATTTCCACATGTGGAGAGCCTAGACAACTTTAGCGCCATCATGGTTGGGGCTGAGGTAAGAACATTTATGATTATGGCACCTCTAGATGGCCAGAAATGGCACTCTCAGACCTAAAATTTATTAATATTTTACTTTTTTTTATAATATTGAAAAATTAATAGGCCCCAGGCTGCCTAGC